AGAAAAGTATGAAAGACATCGTCAAAATAGTCCATCTGCCATCAGTGGTTCAATCTGAATTTTATGAAGCGACGAGAATACTTTTTGTATGCAAAGAAAACAAAAATAACGACTTTATTCAACAATTCGTCGTCTCCGAGTCACCGTAGCGCCATTTTGGGTCCACTGAACGCAAACAGCGTATGCTGTTCTGTGTCAGCCGCACCACACGGATACGCTGTTTTCGTTCAAATCAAAGCGTACATAAACGTAGAAAACATATACGTGTGGTGTGGCTGACACAGACAAGTAGAACAGCATTGGGCGATATGGCCAAAAAATTATCTAGATATTTTTTTTCATATCAGTCGATATTGATAATTATCACGATAACTGTAAAATTTGTATTTCTTTCAAGTTTAAAGGCACATTTTTGCTCCAATGTGAAAGTTGTAAAAACCAAATGGTTAATTGTGGTTTTCAACTATTCTTTATGGTCAGAACACGACAAACACTTAGTTTTTGAATTCTTGCACTTCTCCAGTCGTTTTTCCTTAACAAAATAAATATCTTAATAGAAAAAATAATTTCTTAGTTCTGCATGTTCTAGTAATGAGTAATATTGTTTCAAATCAAGAAACAAGTTTGTGTTGCCTGATAATATTAATTACATTTTAATTAACATTTTTTGTCTCTTAGAAATACACATTTGATAGTAGCTTGAGTTAGGAGGATGCAGATTTATGTTCATTATCAAAATCAGTAATATCTGTAAATTGTAGCAATCTCATTTTTATATGGTGAAATTTAATTATTCTGACTGTTTAAGGCGTTTTTTAACCATTGGGCTTCCATAACATACATTTAGATCATGATAATCACAGTTAAAACCACAAATATAGCTCCTAAATACCACGGTAAAAATTTAATATGGCTTGTAGGTATTTATGAGAAACAGTAGTCTAAATACTTTTATAAATGCAAAAAAGCTATAGCTTAATCACAAAAAATACTGTAATTATATTCCATTACTCCGCCTTCAATATATTTAATACATGTCTACATTAATAATATAATAAAATTCGACACGAATACCCACATTTCTGACACAATACCATGGTGCAGTTAGTGTTACTACAGTAAATCCATGGTAAATGATGCCAATTTGTAGATTAAAGTCTTCTGACTGTATCGTTGCGCACAGTGTTCCTGCTGTTTGTCAGCGCTGCTTCATCTGCGTGTAAACGGAGTTATTTGAGTTCCTCGCTGAATTCAAGTGCTTCACACTGGATCTCACAGCGCTGTTCAATGTTGCGTGAGCGAGACTTGTCAGCGAGTGAACACATCTGCTCTAGTGAAGCTTGCGCTGCACCGCGCCGCTGTTTGAACTTTGATCCGAGCAGATAAACGCTCTGAGTGGCACGCTTCAAATGACTAGCGCTCTTTCGTTCTGCCTTTGCCGCATTATATCAAACATTTATCGAACTCTTGTTATCGTTTATCGAGGAAATCTATATCGTGCGATAATTATCGTTATCTATTTATCGCCCAGCCCTAGTATATGTGCAGTTTGCGTTCAGTGTATACTCTCCAAAATGGCGCTACGGTGACACGGAGGAGATGAATTGTTGAATAAAGTCGTTATTTTTGTATTCTTTGCATACAAAAAGTATTGCCGTCGCTTCATAAAATTCAGATTGAACCACTGATGGCAGATGGACTATTTTGACGATGTCTTTCATACTTTTCTGGGCCTTCAGTGTTATTTACTTGGCAGTCAATGGGACCATCATAAGCCTCCCGGTTTTCATCCAAAATATCTTAAATTGTGTTCCAAAGACGAACAAAGCTTTTACGGGTTTGGAACGACATGGGGGTAAGTGATTAATGACAAAATTTTCATTTTGGGGTTGAGTAACCCTTTAAGGAATTTAATTGGAGTCTAATCCTTATCATACTTTGGAACGAAGTAGGGGTGGGCGATATCTTATCGTTTGCAATATACCGGTAAAAATTCTCCCCACGATAAGAATTAATCTTCCCGCGATAATAACGATAAAGTCTAGTTGTTGACATATTTCTGTGTGCAACAGTGCGGAGCGACATCGCGGAAGGCGGACGTGAAATTGAAGAGGAATTTATCGCTAAACAAGGAGCTCCTTCTACAATATGGAACTGGTTTGGTTAGGGCTGTACAGTGCACAAAAAATCGGTCTGAATAAATGTACTACAGTAGCACGTGTGCGATACAGTTTTGCATGTGTATGAGCCTGTTTACAAACCTGTTGTCCAACAAAGATATCATTTATTGACATGCTTTTTCTCCAAATTAACTTAATAACAGTTGAGTGTTTGAAAGAACTTATTTTTGTGACCAGACGTGGTTTCATATTACAGAATGACAGTATTATATACAGTGATAAAGGCTATGTCGATTAGCATTGCATTATAAATATACTTTCCTTATAAAAAATACCCAAGATTGCTTGAAGAACACAGATAAACCATATATTTTGTGCATTTGTATGTTTATTGTCTTCAAGTTTCATCGTTAAAATGTATCTTTCTCCGTTGTGCGTTTTATTCGGCGATAACTGGATACCTTTGTTGTCCATATAAGGGATTTCATGGAGCGTCGTGAGTAGTATTACTTCTGCGATGCATATGTGGAGTTTCTGTGGAGAATATGCGGAGAAGGATTCTATTTCGTTATCACAGACAACATAAATTACATTTTAAAATATATAAATATATTCCAATAGAAAATAGATATTTTAAACCGTAATAATATTTTACTATATTATGGTTTCAATTGTATTTTTGATCAAATAAATGCAGCCTAGGTGAAAATCTGACTTAAAAAAAAATAAAATAAAAAAAAAATAATAATAATAATAAAAATAAAACCCTACTGACTCCAAACATTTGAACAGTAGGGCACGTGTAGAAATTATCATTAACTAATTAATAAATGCTGTTGAAGTATTATTCATTGTTAGTTCATAATACCTAATGCATTAACTGGTGTAAACTAATGTAAGTGTTACAAAAATACCTCCCAACAAAATAACACTATCAGTGGAATAAAATGTTGAAAACGTAAGCAGTTCAGGATTTTAAAATTCCTATTCCTTGCCATCGAGTTACCTTTAACTGACATTATCAAGATATTATTCCAATACAACAACAAAAAATCAATTCATTCAGTAGGATCTTACAGGAATCTTAAAGAGGATTTTCATTTGATCCTTCAGGATTGGTTCCAAATAGAGCTGGAAATTCCAATGGGAATCATGTACACATTCCTTTAGGATTTTGTGAGATTATGCTCTCAGAGAGTGCACATGATCATGGTACGTGCCGTGAAAAGTTGTGAACAACAGCCTATTTTCACAAGAGGGGTTTGTAAAAGAGAAGTGAAGGATTTTCTTTTTCTCTGTTTCAATATAAAAGAGTATGTTTTGTTAAGTTGTCAAGACATATGGCAAAGACAAGGAATACACCAATTAAAATAAATACAAAAGAACAAATAGTCTCCACTTCTAAACTCTATTCAAAAACACAAAACAATGTGCCAACTTAGTAGTACTTCATTAAAAAGAATAGTACTAATACAAATACAATTCTCATTTTCTTGGTTAGAACTGTCAACATTAGACTAGACCCGTACAACAGCACATTCAGTGTAACTGTTGCTCTAAATCAGTGATCCTCAAATCTGGCTCGCGAGATCCACTTTCCTGCAGAGTTTAGCTCCAACCCTATAATCAAACAAACTTACCTGTGATTTTCTAATGATCCTGAAGACATTGATTAGCAAACTCAGGTGTTTGATTAGGGTAGAGCTAAACTCTGCAGGAAAGTGGATCTCGCAAGCCAGATTTGAGGATCACTGCTCTAAATCAACAGAGAACTGCCGTAATAAATTTCAAACCAGTACAAAGGGGTCCCTTTTACAGTTAAGGAGGTGAATGGCTCGAAAATAACAGCGTATCTATCTATTTGAACAGCTGACAGATAAACAGGCCCGGTGTGAGGAAAAGAAGCGGCTACACACCCACACACTGTTATACAGTCATTCCTCTGTGTTGATTCAAGCGCAGGTGAGAGATGGCCGAACCTCGCAAAGCTCTGACGGGAATGTTGACGTCACTTCTGACAAGGACGAGACACAAGTTTACTCTACCAAAATAAGGCTGAGAGCCTCTCGAACTCTGAGGCACAAAATTATATCATTTTACACATCTTACAACATAAAAAACAGTAAGACTTTATTTTACAGTTTCCTTGTTACACGTTACGTGTACTTACTATAGTAATAACAGTAAATTATGTATAATTACATACAAAAACCCTACAGTGAGTACATGCTGTCGTTTAAAACCTGTATGAGTTCATTTCTTATGCTGAACATAGAAGATAATTTGAAGAATGTTGGTAACTAAAAAGTTGCAGGTCCCCGATAGTAGGCGAACTTTACCTTTAAAATCCTTACCTTTTAAACAAAGAAAAAGAAATAAAAGCGCAACAAAAAACAGTTGAACGTCAAGTCCTTAAGTTGAAAGTCATTTGCAACTGACACAACACATTTGCGTCTACCGGGTTAAACACTTACAAGAGCATTCGAAACCACATGGTTGACCATATTAACTTAACAAACTTAAAAGATTAACTAGCCTAAGAGAATGCAATGAGAAAATGTGCAAAAGAGTGACGTTGATTGCGGTACTGCGTAAAGGAAAAGCAGGCACCTTTGTTTAGGGATGCCCAATCCAGGTTTACACCGTGACCCTCGTGGTTTTACACAAACAGAATTTGACCCAGACAAAACAAAGTCAAAACGTAGCCACAGCAAGACTGTTGTTCTATCAAACAAACATCAACAACCTTTGACTTCAAAGAATCTTCAACTGCAAGCAACGCAAGCATGTTTCTACCTCCCTACCCCTTTTTCTCTTTTTCAAACCAACGCACGTTTCTTCACGCACTTGCGTTTGTGTATCTGCTGCCCTTCAACTCACCGGTGCTGGGCATGCTGGTGCTTCTGGACTGAGAAAGCAGCTCCACGGGTCGCTCTCTGCTGGATGTGCTGTCTGAAGAGAAGCAGGATTCTGTCTCATAGATCGTCTGCAACATCGCGCACAGTCCCGGTACGGTTGGCTTCAAAAGCATGCCAGTCTCAAAATATCGCCACTCAATTAATGCAAAAACAAATTAACATGAAAAAGGAGATGTCAACCCACTCTCCATCTAAAAAAAGTTAACACATTTGAAGCAAGAGGGGAAAAAAGCAGCGCGTCCTTTATCGAAAGGTACATGCATGCAAAAAATCGACAACCGCTTTGCCTGTTAATTCCATGGTCCTAAAACAAAAAATAAAAATAAACAAATGCAATCAGAACAGGTATCCGCTGCAGACAAATCCTTAAATCGTCCACTCAAACTATCAGCTTTACGGCCACACAAACCTTCTTGTCTAATTGTCGATGTCAGAAACAAACTGCTAATTCACACCGACAAGTCCAAGTGTGGCTTGTATCCAAGACCCCGGTCTGAGCGTGCCTGGATCCTGAAGTCACACATGTGGTATCGGCGGACTCCGAAAGAGCGACTTCCCCATGACGAAATGCGACGGGACGAGATGAAAGCGACAGAACGGGAGAGACGATCACTGGGAGACTTTTGCCTACCGCTCCCTCTGTTCCTTCCTTCCCCTCGCCTCTCCGTACAAGTCGCTCTCCTGATGAATAGGCTTAAAGTGAACCGTCCGACAGCTCCGTTTAGTGCGACTGTGTTGCTTTTATGTAATTGTTCAAAGCCGAATCTCTGCACCCTCACCCGCGGTGCACGGCGAACGAGAGAGCAGAGGTATAGAGACGTGGAGTTTACAAACAGACTGGAGCTGCTTCAGGCTGCTGGAAATAGCTGCCGAGCGACAGGGGAGGGGTGGGACTGTGCTATAAATAGAGTCGGGAGCTGAGAGAGAGAGAGAGAGAGAGAGAGAGAGAGAGAGAGAGAGAGAGACGGAAGATGGAAGAGAGGGGATGGTCCATTGTTTATCACGTAAATAAAGGAGCCAAAAACAATAATAGGAGCCAAAAAAGGAGCCAATCAGACACAAGACCGTGACAGGACTGGAGGAGTGAGACCAAACCGAGTTTAACTCGATAATACGAGCCAGCACGAGGGCAAACGAGATACAAAACACCACGAGCGCAGCTAAATTTGTGCCAGTGCATACTATAATGAATGGAACTAATTCATGCATCTGAAACACTAGCGTTTAAATCTTTCGTTTAAATACAGAGGACTGCTTGCTTCTTACACAAGGAATCTGCGTCAACACTATTGACACAGAGAACACAAGGGTCACCGTTTCACAAGCGCATGTGGGTCAAAAGACTAGGACGGCCAATGCAGCATTACCAAACCTTTGACATGCCAAGCGCTGTAAGGACATTCTATTTATCAGTCAAATCAACAACAGCAACAGCAGCATAGATATAATATGCAATTGTTTTTTAAAGCTCTTTATGTTCTGTATTATTCAACAAAGACAAGCTATAAATCATTGTATAGTATGACCAACACACTATTAGGTAGATTAAACATTAATGTTCTTTTCTGTAGGCCAGGCCTATATGTTACGATGAAATTAGGTGATGCATGAATTGATATGAATGACATTTTTATTTAACATCTACAATCACAGTATATTGACTGATTTGTTGAACTTCCAACCTTGTAAGCATGTAATAATTATGTTTAAATAAGCCTGGTGTAAACATTAATATGAAAGTCAGTAACAAATCACACAAACTAAAGTAGATTGCAGAAATATAAAAACAAATCTGTTGCTTTACCACACTACTTTAGGTAATTCAAAGTCACTGTAATAAACATATGTAAACATGGGGACTGCACT